ATGCTGATGGACCTTGAATATACTGACCTGCACAAAGTTCAAAAATTACTTTCTAACGAAATAAGAAGCTTAAATAACTCCTTTTAAAAAATCGATGTAATAACTTAAACAAAGGGCAATGATCGGATAGGTGGCCAAAGGTCAGGAAAGAAGAGGCAAACACTTCTGTAATATGAGAATGATGATAATGGAGATTAAATGGATGCGGCAAACGTAATTGGCATAAAGGTAGTTATGGTAAACAAATGTTTCGCTTCGAGTGAAGTACTCCGTTAGACCGCACTCACTGCGACAACAGCACAGAGATATTGCATGCCAGGCGAAAAATGTGCAAGACTCACATGAAAGAACTCCTGGTATCTTCGGACGGGAAAAGGCGGCACACAGTGGACATTTCGGAGCATCCACCTTATCCACTGCTCCATTTCGTGGGGAATCAGGGTTTGTACAAAGTACTGAGGCGTAATAATGTCCAATACACTCGCAATGTCTAAAAAGAAGAAAAAGGATTGGGGTCACGGAAGCGACAAAGGAGCATGCATTCAGATTGCAAAGCGCGTAAACATGTGCTACTTACATGTTGTGCGTAGCAAATATATGTGTGTAAAATATATGCTTCCGGTTGAAGGTAATCTAACAAAGGTCCGCGAAAACCAACGCAAAAAAATGGCTATTCACGTCGCTGGAAGCCAAAGTTCATAGATGCCTAGGAAAGCAAAACGTGAATGTGATCGACATTTTAAACTGCGTCTGCCCAATTGCCTAACCCAATAGCGGAGCGGCACTTCGGACAGAGGAAGCGAAAGACCAGGTAGCGAATGAACTGCCTTTGTGGACAGCATAGTAATATATGCCTGAATCAAGATGACGAGCGGTAAACTAGTTGGGCGTACTTTAAAAGTTAGTTTACATTAACACCCACATCCGTGAAGGAATACAGTCAGCGACGGAGCTCACGGAAGTGTGAGGGCTCGGTGTGAAAGTTATTGAAAACGAGCGACCGTTTGATAGCGAGCACGTTCCTAAATATTCCGCGGGCGACTTTCACCTAAACACCCATGCT